AGAAATTTCATGAATCTAAAAATTCAAATTCATCCACATATTTAATGTATTATGTATTTTTCAAATCCATATATTTTCATTAAAAAGGGTTCATGAATGGATTTGAATGGGTGGTGGCTGTATTTGGACTACTTAAGCCAAGTGTTGTGTCTTTTCATTGTGTCTTTTCAATTACTATAAATATGGATGTACATTTGCTTTTCAAACACAACATTTGATGAATGAAAAATTCAGATTGAATTTAGTCTCTCTCAAGCTTTTAAGCTTTCTTTGTATTCTTGTGTTTGATTGCATGTTTTAGAACTTTCAATCTAGTTTGATCAATTAGGTTGTGGAGGGTTCGAAATCTTGAATATAGGAACAAATTCTCCTTTATTCTTGATCATTGTTCATCTTTTTCAAGCACAAATCTGTTTAACTTTCTTGGGGTTGATTCATCATCTTGTTATTGGGGTTGATTCATCATCTTATTATTGAGATTATTTTTATTATTGTTGTGGGGGTTCACCTTGTACAGGAGTTCTTATGCGTAATTGACATAGTTTCTTTATAAGGAAAAGTACAAAGAGGAAGGTGATGACCAACTCACATGTTCCAATCACCAAAAAGGTAATATAAAAGTAATATAATTTGCTAAGTGGGCAAGTCCAAAATCAACAAGTGATTGCCATGTCATATTTATATAGTCAATTAACTATCAAACCGTTCATAGACTATTTAGAACAATTTTTCAAACTTCAAAGATTAAAAGTGTTTATTTTAAAATTTTAGGAACTAAATGGATAAACTCAAACCTCAATAATCAAACAGTTTTTTTTTTACTTCCATTTAAAAACACTTTGATACTAAAATAAAAAAATAAAAAAAATCTCTCCAAACACATTCATTGTCATAACAAAGTTCGAAGTGTCGATGTCGATGGAAATGTCGAGGTCCCGATTTTACAGACATGTCGATGTCGATGGATATTTCTAGAAAAATTACAAAAATAGTGGATATTGATGCAAATTTTTTAAATTAGTAAATAAGACTTTAATTGTAGCTTAATTAACCTATACTAATAACTTTTTAACCATCGTATTTAAATATATAAGTAATATACTTATGGAAATGTCGTCGCAATGAAAATGTCGTCGCGATGAAAATGTTGAAACAAAATCATTTATACATGTATGAAAATTATTTGAATTAGTAAATTAAAGTTTAATGTTACTTTTTATTGATAATTTCTAATCAAATTTTTAAAAAACTAGATTTAGTTTAAAATTTAAATGTTTAATAATAATTAGTTAAATTGATTTTCTTTTATTTTTGTCTGTTTTAGGATTTGGTTCGTTAAATTTAATTTAAAATTTATTTTTTTCTTTTAAATCAATTACTTTTAACATTTTGTTATATTTTTTAGTTAAATTTAATTTATTTTAAATCTATTATCTCTTCCTAGATTTTTTTTAGTTCAATTTAATTTAACGTTTGCTTGTTCGGTTTTTTCTTTTTTGACCCAAAGATAAGAATTTAACTTTTCTAAAATTTAAATGTTTAATTATAATTAGTTAAATTTATTTTCTTTTATTTGTTTGTTTTAAAATTTGGTTAGTTAAATTTAATTTAAAATTTGTTTTTCTTTCCAATCAATTATTTTAAGATTTTGTTAGATTTTTTTTAGTTAATTAAGTTTTTTTATAAATATAATATATTTCTTTAAGATTTTGTTAGATTTTTATAGTTAATTTAAGCGTTTGTTTTTTTTTTCTTTTTTGAAACAAAAGGATAAGAATGTAACTTTAATTTCTTTAAAAGAAAAATACAAAATGCCCAATGTCATATAATGTTTTACTATTATTTTCGACTTTTTTTGTTGCTCTTCCACAAGCTTTGAATTTACAGAAATTTGAAAGGATGTTTTTGAACAGAAATCTTCTTTTTCTTAAGGTTTGGATTCAAAATTTTCGATCTATATTTTTTCTTGAAAAACAAATCTTCCTCTAAGTCTCAACTAACTAGGATCTATATTTTCTCAACCATTTAGGGATTCAATATCAAAAAAAAAAAAAAACATTTGGTCCACATATCAAGTGGACGACATTGGGGAAAAATGACTTTTTCTCCCATATCGATATCGAAACCATCGACACATCCACATGTCGTCGGCGTGTCAAACGAAATTTTGAACCATGGTCGTGACACAGAGCATTTCATGATTTAGAGAGAGAAAATAAAATAGGATAAACAATGAAGTAAAAAGTTTTTAGGTGTTGGGCTCAGGTGGGACCAGTGATTATAAATGCTTTTGGAAGAGGACAAAAGATGGGCATTGCAAAGCCTTGTGATTCTTGCAGTTGCCCCATGTCCTCTCACACCTGTCTTCCAAGTCTATGGCAACACATCAAAATAAAACCTTTTCTTTTTTCCCTCTTCATTTCTACGACTATATTTTCATGAGTAATCTGTGAGGGGGTTTGCACAAAACCAAAAAGTGATGAGGTTGATTATATGAGCTAAAATTCGTGGTTTTTTACATAGTCATTCAGCTGTCAAAAAATCCAACAATCCAACTAACCTAATCGAAATTGTAAGGATTGGGTTGGGTTGAGATTTTTCCAACTCGATCAGGTCTCGAGTTCAATCTTTAAAAATTCAAGTCATCCGACCCGACCCGACCCAAATTTATATATATATATACGCAGGCGAGCGCTTTTTAAATTATAAATATATAATAATATTTTTATCTTCAATTTAGTTTTAATCTCACCCCTTTCGTTTAAGGATTTTTTTATATTATCTTCTTCTATTTTGTATCTCAATCAAAGCCTCTCCTCTTCCCTTCATCATTTCTTCTCTCACTCAAGCTCTTCTCGTCCTTTCACCATTTTCTTCTCTCACTCAAGCTCTCTGTTGTCGTCGTTAGCTCTCCATTGCTAGCTCGTTGAAGCAACTCCTTGTCACTGTCATTACAGAGCTCCCTATCACCGCCGTTAGCAGATCCAGAAGCCTCGTCACGCCACTGTGAAGCTCGTTGCCGGCTCGTTGCATCAAATCCCATGACCCATGACCTCGTCTCCATCTTGAATCAACTCTCTGTCCCCAACCTGTTGTAGCAACTTTAACCCGACAACCCAACCCAAAAATATTGGGTTGAGTTGGTCATCTAATTTAAACTTGACGGTTCCTATATATGGCCAACCCAAAATTTCAGGTTGTTCCCAAAATTTCCCGAACCCGATGCAACCCAACCCACGAACACTCCAAATAGTCATTGACCTATTAAACACGCTTTAACCATACGGAGTAGTAGACCTATTGAGCCTTCATCTGCTTAGTCAATGCTTAGTCTATGTCTGAATTGACTAAGCAAACGAACAATACATTTTGTCAAGGTATGTCTCTATTCTTATGCAGCCAAGTAAAGATACTTCAACCAGGCAAGTACATGCAATCAAGATCTTGCGAATCGATTGTAAAATATTCAAATGGTGGAGATACTAAGGGTGTGTTTGGGAGTGATGGTAGAATGAGTGATTGTGAAAAAAGAGATTTAAGTAATAATTGATTTTCCAAAATCACTATCCAAGTGATGCCTTTAAAAAAACTTTCCTATAATCCTTTTTTCAATTTGCGAAACATGATCAATAGAAATGAAAGCGATTTTGATAATGGCAAAAATCACTCTCAAACATACCCTAAGGTGGTTTGGAAATGGTTGCCATAGGCTTGAGGTTTGAGATTACAAAGCTCGAATTAAGGTCGATTTCTATTATAACAAACAAATGAGGGAAAATTGATTTCGACCTTGAATTTGACACGATGTGTAGATTTTTACTTTATATTTTTTATGTCATTAAATTGCATCTTTTAACTTAGATAAGTATGATAATCTTTACCTTAAACTTGAATGAAGTATTGTAATTTTGCCGGTTGATAGGTTCTTGTTTGAAGAATAGTTACACTACTATTTTCATGTGTGTTCAATGAATTATAAACATACCAACGAAATAAAATTGATAAGATTGAAGGGGAAAAAACCAACATTAAAGTTGATTTTCTTTTTTTCTTTTTTTTTCTTTTGAAACTTTTTAGTTTATTGAGTTATCAATAGTAGATTTTCTACGTGGATCTAACTTGATTTCATGCAAAGCTCTTTTGGTTAAAATTAGCGATTGAGTTAGTAGAAATCAAACAGAAAGTAAAAGTTGGAATACTTGTCTACATCTAGGTCTAATTTGATAAAATTGAAAGTTTAGAGTAAAATTTTACGCACGGGTAAATATTTTTCTTTCTTTTTTTTTTTTTTAATCAAGGTACCATGCCCTAGCTCTCCACAAACCTGGCACTATAATTTGTTGTTTGGTTTATTGTTTGGCTCTGTATTCCAAGGCTTGCCCAAGTCCCCAAGCTTGAAGAATATAAGGTTGAACAAGGTTCTACTAAAATGCACAAAAAATGCTTAAAATTACTCCCAAAATCTTCATGATGTTACATAGAACTGATTTAATAAATTCTAAAATCACTTTAAAATATAGTTGGAAGTAATTAATTAGTGCTTTCTCGTACATAAAAGAAATTATGTTCTAAGTAGAAGTACACTCATTAAATTATCGTGTAGTATACCTTACCCTAAGTCAATAATAAACTACACTAAAAGTAATTAATAATGTTAAATATTAAATACGTTTCTGTTTCTCGTTTCTCATTTTTAAGAAACATCTTCAAAATTTGTTTTGAAGTTTTAGAAACAACAAAATCAAATTTCATTATCATATTTCTAATTTTTTTTTTCTAAAACGCAGATAAAAGCATTTTTTTAGAATTTTTTACTTAATAAATATAAAATAAAAGATTTGAATGTTTAATTTGAAAAAAAATATATATAAAAGTTTTACTTTTTCTTTAATTTAAAATTTTAGATAACAAGAAACAATAAATAAACACTGTAAAAAAGAAACAGTTGCCGAACACAAATATATTTTTCTTAATTGAAAAAGGAGGAAACAATTATAAGGTAAGAGTAGAACAACTTCCATCATCGACATTTTATTTATTTGATTAACTTCAAAGAGTGCTACAGGCCAACATACAGTAAGAAAAACAGAGTGTACAAATATTCATGCTTCATCCTCAAAGCTGAATGGTTATTGAGAAATTCCATGAACATACATACATTGCTTAGATCCATATATCTGATGTGCAATCACCTCCAGGATATCGCATCTCGTGGGCCAACGAAGGCCCCTCGGGCTCGGTTCCAAAGTCCACAAAGAAATTCGGGTTAATAGCGAGCCCACCTTTCTGAGTATCAACATCAATCTGCAGCATATGGGAACCTTTCTCAACCAAATCAGGGTAAAACTGACGATCCCATGCGCTGAAAAGGGAATTGGTCACATAAAGCCGTTTCCCATCCAAACTTAACTGTATCATTTGAGGTCCTCCTCTCAAACGGTGCCCCTGAAAGTCCGAAGAATACTTGAGACATCAACTACTGTTAGAAATGCTAGGGGTGAAGGGACCCGAACCGGACCAAAACGATTGGGTCTTGTGTCCTTGAGAAATCAACTACTGTTAGAAATGTTGTTAAGTTGTAGAATTGGTCCTTTCTTTTGGGTCGTGTCCACAGTTTGAGCTACTTTAGTCCTACGTTTATTGTGTCTTAAAAGACCAACTTTGCTGTTGGAGCTAGCTACTTGTCTAATTGTGATATTCAACAACAAATTTTAAGAACTACCAACAGTTTCATGATATCTTGATACTAGCTGTGGGTATGCACGTTTTCGGAAGTTAAACTTTAAAGTATGTTTTATCAACATACTTCAATGCTCGTTCCCAAATGTGGTTGAGAAATTAGCAGAAGGCAGAACAAATGGTTATCAATATTAATTAGGGAGGAAATGACACTATAGAAGTTTGTACTCAAGACCTCTACTTTGTTACCATGCTAAAGTATCACTTAACCCAATAAATTACGGTAAATTTAATCTTTTACAGAAAATATACGAGTTAAATTTATCTTCTTGCATAGACTCCAACATTAATTTGATTCTTGAAACATACCTGAAAACTACTGCCTCACAGAAGTTTGAACTCAAGATCTTATCGTGTTAAATTATCCTCGGGCACAAAGGCTTAAGTGGATGAGAAATGGTAGATTTTAATCATTTAATTTATTCTCAATGCTAAAGAAGTTATCAAGTCAAAGGATCAAATTACCAGAAACTGTAAAGATCAACTATTTAGTGGTAGAAATGCAAACCTGGATTTCAGGGACATCAAACTGGAATGTTGTACCATCCTCTGCCTCAGCTACTACAGGACTCCCCTTTTGGATCAGTCCACCGACCCACACTTGGCCCACCATCTTAGGACTTTTAGGGTCCTCAATGTTATACTGTCTCACATCTCCATGTAGCCAGTTCACAAAGTACAGAAAGCGATCATCGAGCGAGATCAGAAAGTCAGTAATGAGACCAGGCATTTCCGGAAGTATCCAGTTTTGAACCTTCAATGGTTTCGCTGAAATGGAAACCTGAAGAGGAAAAAACCAAACAACCAGATATTTGAATATGAACTTTTCAAATGAAACATGTGACACAGAAAAACGGAACAAGCACATCGATGGGCACGCAATTTCTTTTATCTGTACCTCGTGACTCCACGAACCATCTTGGTTCTTGTAAAAACGAACCATGTTACTTGTCAATGCACACCCAACAAAACCTGTATCTTTGGAAGGATCATGCAGGAATCTTATCTGACCAATAGTGAACATAGACACAAACAACAGCCATTAGTGACAAATGAGAAAATGTTATAAGCTGTAAGAAAGGAGACTGCATCTGAAAATGTATTACACACTCACTTCCAAGGGTATAAGACCAGTGTCGCCAAGATCCAACATTTGTTTCAGTTCACCATCAGGCCAGCTATACACATGAAGATGCTTACCGTAAAGACCATCAGCAACATGTTGAAGGTTGAAACCTTTTGTGAAAGCAGAAGGGGCACCCCATGATGTGCTTATCATTGTCTTGTGCCGGGGCTGATACCAAAAGTCATATCCAAACAGGGGACTATGCCCTGGTTTTTCCCACCTAGTTTATAATTGGTTAAGAAAAAATGGTTTGACAATGCTCTGGGAAAATTGAACCAAAATGCAATGACAGAGTTCATTTACTTTTAAGCTGCTTCATTGCCAAAAAAATTGAAATCAATAGCTCTATGGCGCGGATCCATTATGATATATGTTGCAAGAAATCTTTAAATTGAACAATATTATGTCCAACAGTCTCCAAGCTTTAAAAGTTATCTAAAAAGTTCCTGAATTTTTAATTTTTTGTAAGAAATATCTCATAAATCAAAGATTGATTTGGCACAAAATCAAAAGTTTCAAGACTTGTTAGACACTTTTTGAAATTAAGAGACCTATTAGACACATGGAAAGTTTATGGACTTATTAAACACTTTTTTTAACTTAAAAAATCTATAGGACGAAACTCTAAAATCTCAAGAACCAAACTTATGACTTAATCTAGGTATCAATATCTTCACTTTCTATTCATTTTATTGTTTAGATCGGAAACTTAAATTTAAAACTTGAATTAGCAAAATATCAAGTACCTTCCTTTAACTTTGAATTCTGAATCAAGAAGAAGGAACCCATTTCCTGCTGCATTTCCATCTTTATCTCCCAAACATGACACCATTATATCACCAGAGGCGAGGCAGTGGGATGTGTGTGGGAAAGCTAATCCAGTCTTCTGTATGATGTCTTCAGGTTCAACAACCTTGTGCAGAGATGGAGCAGTGGGATTCATTTTCGTGTCGATCACATATATGCGACCCGAGCTGAATGTGAAAAGAATCAAACATAAATTTACTAGAACAATTGATGATAATATTTGAAATCATGAACTGCCCAGTTATGGAACATCGCCCAAGGGCTTGCTTGGTAATTATAGTCATAATTTTCCATTCAGAAACTAAATCATCTAGATAAACTCAAGTACATTTAGACAGTCGTTGGAGAGTAGAATCAGATTCTTCACTTCCTCGTTTCTCTCTGCTTTACTGCTAACTTAACTTATATTCCAACCCAAAATCACTCTTGAACTCAGATTTTTAATATGAAAAATAGGATGAGTTTTCAGGCACTCTTGCTAAAATGGCGTTTAGAATCTACTTGCTCACTAAAACCAATTCACAATCTGTATGATTTTAGGAATCAAAATAGGATTAGTTTTCATTAATGTATTTCCATTAGATTAAAAATAAGATAGGGTTAGAAATCACATTTGGTCCCCATAATTTTATTGAACCTAAATTTAGTAGGTAACAATTTTGTCCCCATCATGAAAAAATCCATTAAAATGAAGTATCCATCTTCAGTAATAAATTTAGTCTTCGTAGTCTAAAAACAGGACAACTTATGCGTATGAAGCTCCACAAATTTTAAACTAAAGTTTGACAAAGTCCTTAACCAATATTAAATTTGTTACATGTCAGGGACTAAATTTTTATTTCACTAAATCATTCCTTCAACAAAAATTGACCAGATGTATATTTTAACCCAAAAACTAGTCTGGAAATGGGAAGAAAATGTGTTCAGAGGACGAAAATAAAACTTGAATATCTTACACGAGCGCCGGAAGGATCAAAAAACGGCGATCTGCAGAAGGATCTCCATGGCAAGAGCTGCACGCATTCCACCCAGAATGGTGCAGTTCATCCCCAATATACGGTACGGGCAATCGATGGATAACTTTGGAATAATTAGGAGAGTTAGGATCAACATCCACAGTAGCCAGATAATCCGGCTTGTTTCTCCCAGTCCCTGTTTACAAACCACCACCAATTAAGAACAATAACCCAATCTTCTAATTCCACCATCAAACCAACAAAAAATCCAGACTGAAACGCAAATTCAACTCTCTCTGAAACGATTTCTTAGCCACAAAAACAAGAATCAAGTGGATTAAGCCTCAAAATCGACGCAAAACACTCCGGGATTTTCATCAAACAGCTTACGGATACGGACAACGAAACTAACGGAGAAGAAGATGATGAGGGCAGGCGATGGCGTTACCGGAGTAGACGGCGGTGACGTATATCAGAGACTCTCTGGGGCCGGACATGGCGTGGAGAGGAGAAGAGTAGCCTGGTCCATGGCGGCAGCAAGCGTGGGCATTCCCGTTTGTCGCTTCATCGGCCATGGCTCCGTGGATTGAAGAATCGCTGTCCACTGAGAAATCGAAGCAAGAAAATAAGAATTATGAGTTCACGAGATGCAGAGGAAGATTATAAATAGGCAGCTGTTGCTTTACAATTTTGGCCATCTCGTTGGAAAACAAACAAGAGTGTTCTTCAGAGTTTCAGACGTTCGTGATTATTATTTTTCTTTATTTATTATTTCTAGTGTACGATGCCAAATCAATAACTATCATCACATAGAATCATATATTTATTTATTCCTTAAAATATTATTTATTTTGATCCATGTATGGTGTAGTTTAAAAGTATTCATTTTGGTTTCTATAATTTTAATTTTGATTTATTTTCATGCCTGTATTTAAAAATATTCATTTTGATCCATCTATTTTTAAAAAATATCATTTTGATCTTTCTTTTCTGAATTTCAATACAAATTTACACATGATATAAAGTCTTTAGTACAAAACTAGTATTTTAATCTTTAGTTACATCCATAAGGTATTAAATTTTGGTAGACATGTTGATATTTCTATCAATCCATCTGTTCGACGTTCGACGTCAACATGAGGAGTGAATCGACATTTCCATAGTAAAATATAAATAAAATACACTAGCATAAACATTATATTAATATTAATTATTTTTAATTTACTAAGAAACAGTTAAATGCTTCATTTAAGTAATTTTTACAAAATTTTTATTATAACCTTTCCAAAAAAATTCATCAAAAAAAAAAACCTCCACATACATTTAAAACTTTGTTATATCATAACTTTGAGTTGGTAATCTCAATTTGAGCACAACTTAAAATACTTTAACACCATTTAAAAGTATATGGTTTTGTTCCCCCACCCTACAATTGTTTAATTAAAAATTATATATTAAAAAAATATATATCTTAACTACCGAGCAGCTACACTTATATTTATTAAACACACTATATTTTTATTATAATTTAGAGAAATATTGCATATTAACCTCTTGGGAACGTTGCTATCACGTCCGTGAATTTTTAATTTGGTGAATCCACCTGGTAAATTTACAAAAGTTGATATATATATATATATATATATATATATATATCTGTGTGTGTGTGTTTTGTACATGTATTTCGATGGTTAAGGCTTTTTCATTCTATTTAAGAGGTTAAGAGGTTAAGAGATCATACGATTAAAATATTCCATCTATGTGGGATTCTAAAATAATAATAATATTTTATTATTATAATATAATTATCTATTATTCCCAAAATTATACTTACATTTATAAATTAATAATTCGGAACTAACCAAAAAACACATTTGGTTGAAATCAGACGCGATTTTGATTTTAACAAATAAAAACTGCAACATTAAAAAAATAAGTTTCAACATAAATATATTTTGAAAATAGGTTCTAAAAATAATAATATAAAAAAAAAAGGTCCCAATACAAAGTTTATGGGTAAAAATGGGTTTCCCTTTATTTATGTTGAGTTTTTTTAGTTATATTTTTATAAACATCCTATATCATTTTTATATTATATAACAGCACCGTCATAAACTTAACTTAACTCAATAATAATAGATCAAGAGATCTTAAGCGGCATGAATTTTTTTAAAAGGAAGAAGATATTTTATTTTATTCTTTCATTTAAACACCAAAATTTCTTTAAAATATCAAATAATTAACATAAAAATGTCAAACAAAAATATCCAATAATTTCTCACACATACTAAGATTGTGATCTTTTTCCTTGCAAAAAAAATTGTGATATTTTTTATTCTAACATATATGATGTATCTTTTAACGATTCCAAACTCAAATTTGGATAATTAAGTCATCAAGATTAGAAACTTCTTTAAAAGTCCAAAGTTTGACTCCCTATCAAACAAAAAAATAAACAATTAAATTCTTTCTTAGAATATAAACTTTTCAGTTAACTAAACATACAACTTCTCCAATAAGTTTGTAAATTTTTTTTTTTGTCTAAATACTATTTTGGTCGGTTTTGGTTCATTTTAGGCCATCTACTTTTAAAATATAAATTTTGATCTCTATACTTTCTATACTTTTAGAACATCTATTTTAATACCCGCACTTTTGAAGAGGACCATTTTAATCCTTCTGTGTAAAATTTTAACACAAATATTTTATAATCAATAGAAATTTTTTAATACAAATTTATTACTAGGTTTCATTAATTTAGCGATGAAGTTTCCTACCAAAATTTAATAGAGATAAATGAGATAAAATTGWAAATGAAAGAGCTAAAATGATCCCTTTTAAAAATTATAAGAAAAAAGACAAACATTTCGGAATTTCATTGATTAAAATGAACTAAAATGGAAAGTATAGAAACTAAAATAAATATTTCAAAAATACATAAACTCAAATATAAACTCAAATGGACAGTGACCAAGGTTTTAAATGTCAATATTGATGGAAGTATCAGARGTTATAATTTTATGAATATGTTTCGATAAAATGTCGATGTCGACAGATATTTCTAAAAARGTCATAAAAATAAATTTTGAACTCAGAACCTCCTGATTAGAGGTTGATGTCAATTAGCGCTGAGCTATGCTCGTTTGGGCACATTTCATCATTTCTAAATAAATTAAAAAATAATTAATATTAATATTATGTGTATATTAATGAGATTTTGTTGATATTTTTTATATTTTACCGATTTCTTTTTGTAATATTATAAAAATGTAGATTTACACTTCACGTCGATGTCAAATTTATGAATACAATATCGACACATATACAAGAACAATGACCAATTATTATTTAAACTTAATATTTTTCAATACATGACAATCATTCGAAACGTTTGTAACTCTTTTTCCTATCAATTTTCTATAATGAGTAAAAAATTTATGACAACATTAATTAGGCATTTAATATCATTCCAAAAAAATGTTAATTAAATAGATATATTACGTAACGCACGTCAGCAATTGAAGCATGTCCAGAGGGGATGTATCTGTAATTTCAACTCTCMCTTTTGATTTTTCTCAATACAATACCTTATCCCATGTTTGGACTCTTTCACACGTGTCACCTTATCCTTAAATTAAATTCTCATGTGAAACTACAAATAATTTTTGGCCCTATAAATGATGTCAGGTTTATTAAGTGGAGCTATAAGATAATTAAATAAAAACTTTTACTCATTATTTTTCAGACAACTCATTACTTTTTTTAGTTTTTTTTTTAATTTCTATATTTTAGTTATCGAATATTTATTGGTGCTGACTTTATCTTTCATTAGATAAATATAATTGTCAACTAGTTCAACAAATAAAGTTACTTATGTCCGATCATAAGGTCGTGAGTTCAATTTTCTACTTTTTATATGATGTACTAAAAAGAGATAAATAAAAAAAAAATTTAATGAAAAGTTTGGTTTAAATTTTATGATGGTGTTTATTTAAAGACGGTTCAGTAACGAGTTTTTTTTTCTTTTGTTTTTTTGTTTAGGACAAAAGAAATAAAAGAACTAAAGAAGGTCGTGATTGGCTAGACAAGTCAGCCAACTAGGGATACTAACTATCCCAGAATACATTTTCCCTTTTCTCACGGGATCTTTTCGCAACTGTGTGAGCACAGAAATTGACCCTTCTATCCACTTTTGCAATAGAGATAATCTCACATAGAGTTTTCAGATTTTTTATTTCTTSCACAATCCACCAGATTTCTGTTAAGTCTTCATCCTCATCAAACAAAAGCTTAGCAAGCTCYTCTGAGTCGGTTTCCACTCGAATTGGAAGAGACGGCACACGCGACAGCAGATAACRAAGACCTTCCAACACTGCTTATGCCTCCAATCTCTTCACACCATGGCACGACTCCACCATATTGTTGCCTGCAGAAACGACTTTGCCCTCTCAATTTCTCAGCACCCATCTCAATCCTCCCAGTTGATTGGCTAGATGGTTCAGTTGATTGGCTAGATGGTTCAGTAAATTTATATTTATTGTTTCTTGTTTTTCATTTTCTATTTTTTAATAAAGGAAAAGAACTGTATTCCATAATTACTTTTTGTTTATTATCTTTTAAGAAAAGAAACCAAAATATGTTTTGTGACAATTTTTTACTTTTCGTTTTCTAAAATTTTTATTTTTTACGTGAAATTTATTTTTTAAAATTGACTATTCATAATTTTTATGCCATGTTTATTATGTATTTTATAAATCAAGAATGATAAAATAATATTTTTATTTATGTTTTAGAAAAAAATTGAAATACSAACCATAAACAAGAAACTTAATTGTGTTGTTTCTAAAATTTCTACCAAAAATATAAACCATTATGAAACACTAATTTTAGAAAACTGAATRGTTACTTTAACTTTAGAAAATTATATACACACCATTGACTTATCCTAGGAAGGATTCATTTTAATTATTAATTAATTTTTTCGAGTACTCTATTTAATATAATTTATTAATCTTTTCATAATAATTAATGAATCGGAAGCCACTATGTTGTATTAATTAAACATTACGAGGATCCCACAGCTGTCTGATTTGATATTCAGGTTGATTTTTTTTTTGGTTAATTAATGATTCTAGAATGTTTTAGGAATTTTTTAGAACTAATTATTTAATTATTCCCATTTTAATAAAGATTATTGACTAGTTTGTATTAAACAAATTAAAACTTATGACACCATTTAGTCAATTGGATGAAGTCAAATTTTGTTTTTTTGTTCTTTGTTTTCCTTTTAAAGTAGTATAATAATAAAGGTAAAGAATCAAACTTTAGAGATTGATGGAGTRATGTATATCCAAAATATTTTTCTTCGAGAGAATATCTGAAAAACTCATTATTGATTTTGATACACATCCACATGACYCATTATGGAGATATCTTTTTTTATTGTTTAAATTAAAAATAAGATTAACCATTTCTAWCTTATTTTTATGGTTAGATTCATATGTACCTACGACTTAGTTATGTCGGTAGAATCATCGAGCGCTGAGCAAAGGTAGATTCAGTTAAAGTCGTTGAAGGAGCTCTAGCCCCTAAATTATAAGATATTTTTTTAGTACAGCATGTGGAGTTGGAGAATCGAACTCACAATCTCGTATATTATATTAAGCAATAATTTATTAATTATACCATTAGTTGCAATGGCCTGTTAGTATTTTTTTCTTTTAATATT